CCAAATCCTGCTGGCTGCCTGTCTTTGTAAATAAAAGTTTTATTGGAACACAACCAAGCCCATATTGTCTATGGCTGCTTTCATGCTACAAGACCATATGGCCTGCAAAGCCTAAAATATTTGCCATCTGGCCCTTTACAGAAAGAGTTTGCCCACCTCTGGTCTAGTGATTATGGTATGCTTTATTAACTTATTAATGTCTCATAGAAATTAGTACTTTTACCACTTCCTAAACAAGTCAGAGACCTGGAACAGTTGAACTTCATTACCTGCCTCATGACTTATGTGCTATCTCTGTTTTTAAATACCACAAAATACTTCTAGTATTCTTTTATATGGTCAATATTTATTTGGGTTTACCACATATTTACCATTTTCGTTGCTCTTCATTCATTCCTCTGGGTCAACTTTCTATCCTGGATCATTTTTCTTCTACTTAAAGAATTCTCTTTAATATTTCCATTAATGTAGAATTTCTGATGACAAGTTCTCTCAGTTTTTGTTTGTTTGAAACTGTCTGTATTTACTCTTAATTTTTGAAAGGTATTTTTGCTGGATATAGAAATCTAGGTTGGCAGTTATTTTATATCAATACTTTAATTTCCTTGTTTTCTGGCTTTCATTGTTTCTTTTGAAAATTTAGCTATCGGTCTTATTTTTGCTCCTCTGAAGATAATCTTACATTGCTTTTTTTTTTCTGGCTGCTTTTTTTTTGTTTGTTTGTCTAGGTTTTCAGGAGTTTTACTACGATGTGCTTAGATCTGAGTTTTCTATTTGTTTTTCTTGGTTTTTATATTGCTTCCTGAATCTGGGACTTGATGTCAGTTTGGAAAATTCTTAGCTATTATATTTTTATAAATATTGCTTCTTCACTTTTCTCTGTTCTTCTAGTGCCTTCCAACCATGTCTCATATGTCTGTTTTGCTCCTTTCTGTACTATTTCTACCCTTTTCTCCCCCTTGCTTCATTCTGGATATTTTTTTCAGACCTATGTTTTAGTTCACGAGTTCATTTTTTAATCTGTGTCTTATTGGCGATAAAACACATCCAGTCACCTTAATGTAATGAAGATTTGAAGTGATTCCAAATAGGTCTTAGTCCCATAAGGGCTTGTTCATATGTGCTCAGATGATATAGCCATTTAGGGTGCCGGCAAAAGCCTGGGGTTGGTGCAGGGTACTTTCTAGAGCCCCTCCTCCTTGGTGGGACCATATTTCGGTTTTTGTTTCTTAGCTTCATAGTCTATTGAAAGCTCTGCCCAGAAAAGATGATATAGCCATTTAGGGTGCCGGCAAAAGCCTGGGGTTGGTGCAGGGTACTTTCTAGAGCCCCTCCTCCTTGATGGGACCATATTTCGGTTTTTGTTTCTTAGCTTCATAGTCTATTGAAAGCTCTGCCCAGAAATTATCTTCATGTTAAATGGTAGTGAAGTCCAGTTATCTGTCTTTTTTCCTTGTTTAATGATTATAGCCTAACCTCTATGATAATGGCATATGTTCAATAAATGTTCAGTGGAAGAAAGAAATAACCTATTTTACATCCCCCTGTATGCAGAATAGGGAAACAAATTTTAGCCCAGCATTAGAAAGAACTTCCCAGTTATTAGAGTCACCAAGTAATGAAGGGGCTGCCTCAATAAGTATTAAGTACCCATTACAAGAAATGCTCAGGCAGAACTTTCAAGTTTAAATGTTCAAGTCTCAGAATCATTTGTCAAGAGATTGTAGAGATGATTACAGGTTTGACATTAATTTGGGTTAGATAACCTCCAAGTTTTTTCTCTCTGTTTCTATAGTTTCTGTGATTCCAGTTTCTGTTTCAACTGTGGCCTCTCTTCTTTAGTACTTTGCTTCCTAGTTTCTGACAGTGTAGCTGATCTGAATTATGGAGTCTAGGCCTTTTACCCATCTTCATAAAGAACAGGGCAGTCAAAAGGACTAACAGTTAAGAACAGGGAATATTAAAATGAGCTCACTTTACAGTCTGATGCAGTGAATATGTCTTTGGTTATACAAAGGCAGTTACAGGCTATTTTTAATAAAATAATCATTCAAGTATGGGCTATAAAATGGATAGAGGAAGACTGAGTTGTCTATTTATGACAGGAAAAAAAAGATCAACTTAGTTGATTCAATGGGAGAAACAATAGCAGTTTGGAAGTTCACTGCCACATAGACAAAAGTGATATCTCAGTTTCGTTTGCATTTATTTACTTATTTACTCATTCAATCAGCAAATATTATTTGAGAATGTAGGCTAAGAAAAGGCGTGCCAAGGATCCCTGACAGCCGTTTTGTTTGCTGATATTTTTCACCATTCACAGATGTATTTCATAAAGACTTTCTTGGGGTTTCACATCTTTTTAAATAGAACGGAGTCTGCCTCTATTTTAAAGTTTTGGGAAAAGCATAGCAATTTAAATATTTTTTCTCTTTAAAATGGAGCACTTTTGGAGACCGTGAGGCCGTCATGAGTTCGTCTGTGGGTTTACTAGGAATCAGATGAGCATGCTGTGGCTGCGGTCACTGTTGAGCAGTCAGCTGCTTATCCCAAACTACTGTGGTGTTCTTCCTGTTTTACATTTTAAATTTTTTATTCCCAGTCATATGTCATTTAATTTAAACCAAGGAAGGACAGCAAGTTAATCACAGTTATAAAATTAAATAACTTTGCAGATTCACTTCAGCGTCATCTTTATCAGACACGAAATTGTATTCATTGATCAAAAATCTACTCAGTTTTTCTGTAAATCTAAAAATGCTTTTAAAGAAGCCTATTAAATTTTTAAAAATAAAATGCAATTTTATTCAAAGTACTAAAAAATCCTATAAATTTCAAGCTGTGGCTAGTATTTCGAAAGCTAACCAGAAGACAAAATATAGGGTGATTACTTATGTAAGGGTACCCTTGACCTTATTGTATTATCTAGAGAGAAGCACTTACATTGCCATCTGAAACAAAAGACAAAATGTGTTAATGTAAACCATTTCAGTGCAAAATGCAAGAATTGCAAAATGTGTGAAGTTTTTATCTGCATTCAGTACTGAGCTGGTAGTTCAGTTGTTCCTGTGTTCTAATATGCACTGTCACCGAACCAAGAACAATACAAGGGTACTTCAAAAAGTTCATGAAAAGATTTGTATTATCTTGTAATTCAATTTTTCCATGAACTTTTTGAAGTATTCTCATATAATGTCATTTTAATTTATTTGTCATCTTCCTTATATAATTAGTTTAAATTTTAAAGTGTGTCCTTCATTATATCGGGTAAAGTTGAATATTACCAAAGATTATATTGAAATTTATAATATATTTGATAAAATAAAAATTTTAACTTTAGGTAATCTCTTTATCATATATCACACAAAAATCACAAGTGATTTTCTAAGTTTTTAAGATTTCTCAAAAGCAATTTACATGTTTTTTTAAAAACTGGTAAATACTAAACTACTGAGTTGGGGGTTTCTCCCTTATTTTACAGTTGAGAAAATGAGGCTCAGAGGGACTGAACAATTTGCCCAAGGACAAACAACTAATCGAGGGCAGATTCTAAATTCAAACTCAGGACAATCTGATTCTAAAATTCATCCTCAATCCCTTCACCTAGTGTGTGCCTCTGCTTACACGGTGGCAGTGAGAATTGGAGGAAGGGAAGTCTGAATGATGTTTGGAAGACAAAATCGATAGAAAACAGTGATAGCTCAGACAGATTGATATTTTCATGAGTAAGGGTGGAATTGATGCTAAGGCTTCTGCTAAGAGATTTAGGAAAGGAGTGTTGTTATTGTAAAAAAAAAACAAAAAAAGAAGCAAATAAATAAGATGGGGACTTAATTTAGGTAGAAAGGTGCCAAGATTAATTTTCGGCCTTGCTGTGTGACAAATAACATTAAAACTTACAGACAGAGCTGTCACATACACATTTGAAAATATAGGACTGAGGTGCTGTTCAAAGTCAGTGCTGAAAGTGTAAATTTGGAATCCATCAACAAGGGGTAGTAGTTGAAGCTAAAACAGTGGAAGGGCACAGAGAGAATGAAAACCTGGAGAGGGAAAAAATATGATCCATGTCTCCCAGCTTCCAAAGTCCATTTCTAACTAGTGGTCTCCAGAGTGCACAAAGCAAACCACAATGATATGGGAAGAAAATGTTAAAATTTAAAAATTTTAACATCCTTTTAAAATTTTATTTGTGTGAGTATTTTACAATGTGTATCTTATATTGATATACTTGCATATCATACATACATGCATAATTTATAAATTAATAGGTGTATGTTTATTGGGGTATATACTCAAAAAATTTACTACTATAGTGTGAAGATGCTTCAAAAAATTTTGGAAATTATTGCTTCAAATCACTATGCAAAACTGCCTTTTTGCCTTGTCCCATATTCAACAACAAACTGCTTCCACTTCGTATGGTCATGTTACCTTTTAAAAGCAATACTAGTTCTAATTTTGTTAAATAAAAACTGCTTATTTCATAGATTCTTTTCATGTCATTCCTTGATATTTTCAGAAACACATGAAGGCCTTTGGGCCATTTGGTGCTTTGTGATAGTGGAATAGAAGCCTTAGACCAAATGGACCTGTGTTCAAATGTCAGCTTTTACCCTGTCGACCATGTGATCTCAGACAAGTACTTAATTTCTCAGAGCCTTATTTGCTCACCTATAAAATAGAGATAATGTTTACCTTGCAGGTTGTTGTAAAGCTTAGCAATATCACAAGGAAATAACTTAGCATTGGGCCTGACATACAGTAGATAATTTTTAAATAGCAGCAAATACTAATAACAGCAGCAGTACTTGTTTGCTGTAGAGAACATCTGTGACCCAATAGTCATCTCCTATCTAAAATCAGGTCGAATATACTTTTGGCAGAGTTTGAACTATGTTGTCTTTAATTCAACCTGGAAATTTATTTGAAAAAGTGTTTTCTTGAAAAACATAGTGCCTCTCTATAAGGCTATGTGGGTTATAGAATGCCCTTTACAGGGACTATAATGGGAATGGCTACCCCTGGCCTTGTGTGGAGCGGCAATCCCGGAGATACGCTGGTGAGAACATAGAGGGGTGGATACATGGCAGCCTCCACAGAACCAAAGGAGATGATGCCATGACCACACTTGCATTGGTTGGTACATTGAACACCTCTATCCCTGTTTGATACTCTCTGCAGATATGTACTCCCGACTTGGTGGTATTCCTGGCTTGTGCCAATCAGAGGCTCAAAGAAAGATTATTTATACATGGCAGCCTCCACAGAACCAAAGGAGATGATGCCATGACCACACTTGCATTGGTTGGTACATTGAACACCTCTCTCCCTGTTTGATACTCTCTGCAGATCTGTACTCCCGACTTGGTGGTATTCCTGGCTTGTGCCAATCAGAGGCTCAAAGAAAGATTATTGAAGCGTGCAGAACAACAGGGGCGGCCTGACGACAATATGAAAGCTACCCAAAGGCGACTAATGAACTTCAAGCAGAACGCTGCTCCACTGGTTAAATACTTCCAGGAAAAAGGGCTCATCATGACTGTAAGTTAGCCCCCATATGAGAACGATTTCTTATTTGGTCATGTTCTCTCTTAGAAATCCTCTTTACCTTCAAAAGTGGCTTTTTTGGGGTGTAGAAGCAATGAAAAACTCATTTTGACCTGCTTTGCCTTTATTAAGCCATGATGATAAAAAAAAAAAAATTATTTTAGTTTAGTTGATTTTCACAAATGATGATACATTTTAAGCTTGGCTAGAATCTATAGCCCCCAAATAAAAAGTATTTTCAAATAACTATTTGGGAAATTTTAAACAATACTTGCCCAGTTTCTCGACTCTTCTGTCTCTGGAAATCTAATAAAACCAATAGGCTTATAAACACACAGTTGACATGCTGTTATAGTAGATTTAAATTGTAACTTAGGCTTTGTTTATCATAATGTACTAAATAAAGAAATGAGATTCTGACTGCACAAAAAAATTTTCCTAAGGGTTTGATTTGTCATAAAGAAGTGATAACATGTCGAGATGGGAGGCATTAATCTTTCCGCTCTATTTTATACAATGCAAATATTAATGTTTCCCTAAATGTTTAGTTAGTTTTGTGATTAATGAAATTCAGTGTGCCAGTGAAGGATGATGCTGAATCATTAGTTAATACAGTTTTTTGAATCTAGGACATTAGATGTGAAGGTTCAGCTAAATTTATGATCCCCACAACATCAGATTCAAGTATTAAAATACAGAGGAGACAAAGAGGATCATAGGCCATCTGAAGAAAGCACTTTATGCGAAAGGACACTAAAACCATAGCAGCTCTATGACAGCTGGGTGGTGGCAGACCTTGGCAGAATCTTCCTCTCAGCCCTGGGCCCCTTCCCACCAGACCAAAGATTCTTGTCTTGTGTTGCTACGAGCCTCCATGGAGAATCTGATGAAAGTGATGTATGCCTATCCCAATAAAATGCACATAAGACATTTAAAGAAAATTTAGGTTAACCAGCCAAAGCCCATTCACAGAGCTCCTGTGACCTAACAATTCCTTGGTTAAAATTCTCTTAGATGCTCTTAGACCTGAAAGAGGCAGTCTGAACATTTGAATAATAATTTCTTTGCAGTCTTTTTAGCACTATAAAAAAAAATTTATTACAATTTGCTCTTTGAGTCAAAGTTGTCATGTCAGAGAGTTGTAAATCTGATGTGAAAATTGTTTGCAATGCCCAGGTTTCAGTTTTTGCTCTAAAACAAACATCGAGTTACAGGAAATGGTTGGAAAAATCAGGGTGGATGTTTTTGTGGCTGTTTTTTGTTGGGGTTATCGTTTGCTTTTCTCACCAATTACCAATGCTGACTTATGCATTATGTCATAAAAAAAAAAAATTCACCCTACAGACCAAACCCCAACTGCAAGGTGCAGAGCCAGAATTTTAACCGATGATTGCAAGGCTTAAAGGTGTTACCGGAGTGTCCTGATTACTCCCTGCTTGTCACATTCGTCATCACAAGCAGAGCAGATTTCCCCAATGAATGCAGAGTGGGGATTGTTAATTTACTAATATTTTGCGTGGAGGTGAAATGCCATTGCCTCTAATTGAGGGAGTCAATAACAACATAGATGACAGCCTGTAACCTTACTGCTAAAACCAGATGAGCTTTAAGATAAATACCTCTAATTACTGGGAGAAAACTTGCCTTGGAAAGTCACCCTTTGGAAAGCAACAAATACAAACACAGGCTGAGCTCTGGGGAATATAATTTGAAAAAATAATCTGAGAAAGAAGCACATACTGCATCCTGAAACACATGTCCTCTTTCTGGATCATAGTTGACTTTGGGAATTGAAATATATGTGGTAGCACCTCTGCTTTTAAAGATGAGTTAAATAACAAAAATGATCATTCTTATTAACCATAAGCATGTTAAGATTTTAATAAAAATCTGGGGTTTATTAGATCAAACCCAAATTTTTCCTTTTCTCTGTAGTTTTTTTTTTCCTTTTGCTTCTACCTGCTCCTCCTAAATGATTAATTTATTGATTCAATAAATATTTATTGAGAGTCAAGGGATACTCTGCTTGGTGCTAGGGGTGCAAAGCTAATAAGCAAAGGGTAAGGATTTTCTAGGTATTCACCTGCCAGGTACATAGTAAGCTTCCAGTAAACAAATGAAGCTCACAGTCTGTGGGGAAAGAGATATTAAACAATGAGTTATTAAGTGTGATGACTGTTGAGTTATTAGGTGTGATGACTGTGATGAGTTATTAAGTGTGAGAATGTGCGCGGTGCCCTCACAGATGACATGCACTGTGTTAGGGATTGGAATTCCCTGTAATGAAAAGAACAGACTCTCCTCCCAATGGAGAGTAGGGTTAACCATTTATCTCTATGGAAGGTTCTTAAGGATCACAGAGACCATGTCCCCCTTCAATCCAGTTGAGAAACTTCATCTTCGTGCTCCTCTTCCCTAGGGCTTTGGAGTCTGAAACCTCTCACTTGGAATCTCAGCTCCACTTACGTTTAATAATTTCATGATGCCCCACAAGGTACTAACCTCTAGGACTTGGTCTCTTTATCTATAAATTGGAGATGACATGACCTACTTCATAACATTGTTGTGCTGGTGACATGAGTAAAATGTATGTACCATGGTCTCTGGTTCAGATTCCAGCTGCACCACCTACCACCTGTGTGATTTCCTGCAGATTACTTACCTGCTCTGTGACTCACATGCCTTACCTGTAAAATGGGTATAATCATCAATCCTTACCTCAGTGTGACTGTGAGGATTAAATGGATGAATAGTGCCTGGAACATTGCAAGGGTAATTTATGTGATTGATAGTATACTATATTTTTTGTATCTCTTTCTGTCTCTTTCTTCCCCCTCTAATCCTCATTTTTGGAACCTACAATTATTACTAACAATACTGTACTCTTTGAAGGAACTCTGTTGCCTTTTCTTCGATAGATGGTTATTGAAGAAATACAAAATGAATAATTTAGGTTTTAAAAATTTCATGCCAAGGGGCCGGCCCGGTGGCGCACTGCTACAGTGCACCGCTTGGGAGCGTGGTGGCGCTCCCGCCGAGGGTTCGGATCCCACATACAGACTGGTTCCCGCTCACTGGCTGAGCGAGGTGTGGGAGCAACACCGAGGGTTGCAATCCCGTTGCCGGTCCCGGTCCGGTATGGGTGCGACACTGAGGGTTGCGATCCGTTGCTGGACACGAAAAAAGACAAAAAGGAAAAAAAAATAAGAATAAAAATAAAAATTTCATGCCAAATTCATTTTTTTAAAGGGTCTGCTAATCAGTTATAAAATAGGCCATGTGTTTTCTTTAACTTCTATATTTTCCCTATAATTGTTGACCTAAATAACAAACAGAGAGAGGATCTCTAAAATAAAAAGATATTTATTCAGGAATGGGCATTGCAAAGAGAATACATGTGCCATAGTAAACTATGTGTGTATTGAGAGAGGTAAAGGAAAACAAAGGGTTTTAAAAGAAAACTGATGGAGGATTACATAATTGTTTTTAGGATAATTATCCTTGACTGCAAGGATCAATAACAAGGGTAAAGCCAGTCCAAAGTTGGATAGACAGTTGCTGGGCGGATGTCCTCACAGCAGTATTTTTTGTGTAAGGTTGCGATGGCCTTTTGTGCACGGTTGTGGATTTGCAGAGTGCTTTGTGATAATTCTTGTTATCAGGCATAAATGCATGAGAACTCCTCCTTCATGGCCTTCCCCTGGCTCTGTTTGTTAGGGGGTTTTTAACACAAGCACCTCCATTTTGATTCTGAAAACTTTCACATTATCAAGCTATATAATGGTTGTGTCTGAATAATGTAGATGAACTGTAACAGACATCAGTCCAGTCTTTTTTCTTTTTTGCTTCATCATTGACTGTGTTGGCAGATTTGACTAAAGCACAAACTTAGTTTCACTGAAGAGAAAACTTAATCAAAATAACCAGGAAAAATATGCTATTGCCTGAATGCTATATCTTATTGATATGGTTCCCACCCTTGGGCCTCTTCATTTCTTTTTCTTTTATTATATAGTACATGTCTATACATAGCCATGTGTGCAAGTATTAGTTAAAATATATGAAATTGTAAGGCTATACTATATACTAGATTAGGAACTTCATAAAATCTTCTCAGACATGTTTATGTTATTTTAAATTTCTCATGATGTCTTTTACAGCTGTACGCTTGTAATTAAAGAGTAGGATGCTGTGAGTTCCCAGAGTCTGCCAGAAGATTTCCCCTGAAGTTTGTTTGAGTATTACTGGGACTACGAAAGCTACTTATTTAGTATTACTGAGTAAGCTGTGCTTTATGACATTTTGGAGCACTTGGACTTGATGAAACTGTATAATTTCAGAGCAATAATTTTCCTTTTATAGATTTTTTTTAAAGCCTCAATAAAATATCTGTTTAGTGATAAATTTTTATCTTTATTTTTAAAGTTTTTTAAAACTAGTCTTTGTTTTAATCATTCTTATCAAATTGGAACCCTTTTTTAAAGAAACAGCATTAAATACAGGTCAAGTCTTTGTAAGTTTGAACTCTTTAAAAAAATGCAACTTTATTTTTAAAGAAGAGCATCTTTTAAAATGCTTGAAAACAATAGGGCAAGGTATAATGTTTGTCATTTTCCAAAATGCATTCAAAGCTTTGTGCCATTGTATGTTCCATTCAGCTGGAAAAACATGCAGCTCACCAGGGAAATGGTTGCACACTTGTGTGCATTGAACGAATGCTACTTAATATGGGGGATAATCAGTGAAAGTCCACAATTAGCTTAGACTGTGAAGAAAGCAAATGGTCATTTTTCCTTCTGGACTTTTTGTAGGAAGAAGCAAGAGAAGCATAACTTAAAATGAGAAGTAAACTGGATGAATGAAGAGGTCTACTAACTCATACCCAGATTTACCAACAGGATCTCTTCAGCCAGGAAAGGTGTAGGCTGAAAAATGTTATCGTCAGGATTATTTCTTGTTCACCGACACCAATTTTTCTGGAGAAGTGGGCAAGG